GACCCTCGACTAATAACGAAAAACAACTTTAATAATAGGGGAATTCATGGTTTATTGCGTTTTTAACGAAGAAAACAAATAAAACCTTTTTTTTATCAGGGGGCATCATAAATTTACATAATACAAAGTAACAAAATACGTGCGTATTTTAAACTTGAGTTTTACCTGGCTTATAACAAAAGGTTCGATATTTGAATCTAAACACAGACAAAAAAACATCTATATTTACTTTTGAATCGGTAGAAATATACGCATTTAAAAATCTCGTCAAAAAAACTTGAAATAGTATTTCGATTGTTTTCTTTGGTAAAAACAACAGGAGCGTAACACAGAAATCTTTTCTATACACTTTAAATAAAAAAACGCTACAAGTGATAACATTAATTTATTTGCTATGCAATAAACATGAATATTTGAAAAAAGAAAAAAAATAATAAAGTGTCATAATTATACTGTTACTTATCGAAACGAGTAGACTGATTTGGAACATCTTTAACAATTATCTGTTAAATTTATCGTTGTTTATATGCCCTGCATCGCTAATGGAATAAGGTATAGTATTATTCAAGTCTTCTATTTCATCTAAATCATTAGTATCAGTTTGATGAGCTACTGAATCAATAATTTCATTATCCCATAACAAAGTCCTCAAAGGATATTCAGACACCACTGTATTACATTCTGCAAGAGGTGAAATAGAAATATCTTGGATTTCAGCTTCTTCAGTAACAGCTTCTTCTGTTGATGTCAATGGAAAACCACAGTATACATAAGTTTTTTATAGTAGTCATAGTTATATTGATCAATCTTTATCAGCCATTCTCATGGCTTGTAATACATCTATAGTAGAATTCTTTTTTCTTCCATTTTATCCAACATGTTCTTGATAACTTCTTTTCATATAATGACTTAACTGCTTTCATTTGTGGGATATCATTATGGGCTGTACAATTATCAATGAATACCAAGATTTTTCTTTTTTCTTTGGAGATTTCATTATCAATATTTATAAGCCTTCTTCTTCTTTGGGTGCCATCTTTAATGAAGGTTGGCGATAACCTCAGCAAAATCATTTCTGTCCCTGGCTTTTCTTATTAAAGATCGAGAATCCAAACCAGTCCACTCACGAATGTTCTTCAACCAGGACGCCTGCTGTCTACCAGGACCACGTTTTCCTTCTACCTTCCCCTCTATAAGAAGCTGCAGTAGCTGGTATTTCTCATTTCTGTATATGTGTCCCAAATATGAGGTTTTCCGTGTTTTTATTATTTTTAAGAGTTCTCTGTCGGTACCCATCTTGTGTAGGACCTGCTCATTGCTCATATGCGCTGTCCAGGGGACTTTCAGCATTCTTCGAAATAACCACATTTCAAAACTTTCCAAACGCCTGAGTGAGTTGATTTTGAAGGTCCAGGCCTCCATTCCATATAGTAAGGTGCTGTAAACGTAACATTTCAGCATTCGGTATCGGATTTTGAGATTGAGTGTTTGGGACGTAAACATTTGTTTCATTTTTAAAAAGACATTTCTTGCTTGTTCAATTCGCGATTTTATTTTTATGTCTGGATCTATATCTTTCGTTATCCAGCACCCTAGATATCGAAATTTCTCGACATTTTCGATAATGTTACCATTCACGTTTAAAGCCATGGGTGGATGGATGGATGTTTTGGAGACAATCATTGTTTTTGTTTTCTTGACGTTAATGCTGAGGCCGTATTGTTCTCCGATCAATCTGACGCGATCTAAGAGTGTCTGGAGATCCTGTGCGCTCTCTGCAATTAGGACCGTGTCGTCGGCGTATCGTACATTATTTAGAACTCTGCCGTTAATTTTAACACCTTCTCTTGATTGCTCTAGTGCTCGTGCAAAGATTTCTTCCGAATATATATTGAAAAGTAGTGGTGACAATACACACCCCTGTTGTACACCTCGCTTGATATTGAATATTTCTGTGTCACCGGCTTCTGTTCTAACTGCTGCAGTTTGGTTAAAATACAGCGTTTGGATAATTTTAAAATCGTTCTCGTCTAGTCCCTTTTTGTGAAGGCAATCCATCAACTTATCATGTTTTACTTTGTCGAAGGCCTTTTGATAGTCAATAAAACATAAAAAGAGATCCTTTTTTTGGTCTCAACATTTTTGCAGCAGTATAATAAAACTGATTAATGCTTCCCGTGTCCCAAATCCATTTCGGAAGCCAAATTGTTCATCACTGATATCCTGTTCACATTTCTTATAAATGCGTTAGTGAATAACTTTCAAGAATAACTTTAACATATGCGACATTAAACTAATAAGTCTGAAATCACCACACTTCTTTGCTCCCTTAGTTTTTGGAAGGGGAATAAAGACTGATTTTAACCAGTCTTGTGGACTTTCACCGCTTGTATATATTTGATTAAATAATTTGACGATTATATTTAAATGTTTCTCTTCCAGTAGCTTTATGACTTCCGTATGTATGTCATCGGGGCCAGGGGCTTTCCCATTTTTTGCGTTTTTGATTGCTCTCTCTACTTCTTGTTTTAATATAGGTGGACTGGTTTCATGGTTTTTATATATTATGTTGTTTAGTGGTGTGTCCGAGAATAGTTCTTCTATGTAATGTCCCCATACATTGTTTAGATCGCTTAATTCCCATATCGTTTCATTCTCGTCGTTTGTTAATCTACAAGGGAGTCTTTGTTTTGTCATTCCAGCTAGATCTTTTATTTTTTTTTTGTGAAGCGTTTGACTGTCGTGTTTCTTTATTAATTCTTTGATCTCTTGGCAGTTTTCTATCATCCAATTTTCTTTTGCGGTAGCTATTTCTTTCTTGATTTGACGATGTATCTCCCTATATTTTTCATTATTTTTATTTTTGTAGGCTCTTCGAGTATCCATCATTCCCAGAATTTTTTGTGTCATCCAGGGTTTAGATTTTCTTTTGTTATTAGTGTCTTTTATATATTTCTCGGCGCTAGTAAAAGCATTCTTGACTTCAGTCCATAAGCCTTCTGTAGTTGGTGATAACTCTCTTTGGAGTCTTTCACATTCCTCGTTGAGTTTAGTCTTTACCATACTTTGTATATTTTCTTGTTTAAGTAAATTGATGTCGGTTTTTCTTTTGACAGTCTTTTTTAGCATTTTGAACTTTATTTTTAATTTAGCCACTAGTAAGTTGTGATCCGATGGAACATCTGCGCCTGGGTATGTTCTTGTATCCGTTACTGCATTTTTATATCGCTGGTTTATAATAATGTAAACGATTTGATTTTGGACACAATTGTTTTTATTATCTGCGGGTGATTTCCACGTATATAGCCTCCGTAGTGGTAGCTTGAACCAGGTGTTCATGATAGTTAGTTGTTTCCCCTGGCAAAATTGTAGTAGTCTGTCACCTCTATCATTGCGATTGCCCAGTCCGTAATTTCCACAAATATGTTCCACTTTTCCACAACCCACTTTGGCATTAAAATCTCCTACGATTAATGTTGTTTCATAATCATCATTTATAAGCCAGTTTTTGAAAATTGCAAAAGTCATTGATGCTTTTGTATTTGCCTCATACTTCAAGATAGTGATCAAAATCTTGAAAAACAACAAAGTTTGTTAGATTTAAAGATGACTAATGGTAAGAGTTTTTCTGTATATATGATATGTTTGCTACTAGCAGAGTAGTAGAATATTACTTGCTGTGTTTTACTACCATAGCATTTATCATTTTTAAAATTTACATTCTTATCAAGAAGACATTGAAAAACAGTCCCATTTCATCACTGATGCTATTGTCAAGTTTGTAACCATGCAACAAATCTTGAACTTTCTTTACAAACTTTTTTAAAAATAAGTTCATGTCTTTTTTTGAACTTTTCTTGCCATCCATTACTGGCTCTAAAATTAGCCACTCCTTTGATTTAGAGAACATTTCAGCTTTTTCTTGTAAGAGTGGTCCACTAAAACTGATATTTTGTTTCTGGCACTGCTCAAACCATTAAGTAAGTACTCCTCAGAGTGCATCTCCAAACCCGTATATTCTGCAATTTGTTGTCTTTTACAGGATAAATTTTGACCATTTCGAATTTTTTGATTCATTTTTTATTATTTTTTACAGAATATTCATTGGTAGACCAAACTTTTCAGAGACATCTTTCTTCTTTTGAGCTTTAAGAACATTTTTCTTCTTTCCTCTTTACAGCTTTCAGCACTTCTAATTTGTCAGCAAGACTCACAGCTTTCAATTTATTTTTCACAGCACTGTTTTAACAATTTTATTTGTAAGCTGTTGTACAAATGAATGAGTCTTGCAGTAAAACCAAACTACTTCTGACAATTTTCCAATCAAGAACAAATGACAAAAATCAAAAATAACAAAATTAAATATCTGACACCAAGCAAGCAGAAAGTGTTAATGTAAGTCATAGATTCCTTAAGTGGTAATTATATTTAAGTATTGTATAGTAAATTGTTTTCCAAGCGACAATCGTGTACTTACAATGTTGGCAAATTTGGTATCTTTGGTAACTTATTTTTCTTCAAACAATACAGGTATGTTATAACTCAAAACAATGAGTTGTAAAGGTTCCAAAGTAAAACATTGCTAGGTTCAAGATACAGAGGTCCAATTTAATTTTTCTAGTTATAAAGGAAATATGTGCCAAATTGGCTTACAGTGACTCACTTATTATTTCAACAAATAAAGGTAGAGATTTCGAGCAATGATGTTTTGGGGTTTGAAGGGGAGAGACGAAAACATTATTTAAAGTTTTGGAGGTATTCAACACATCAAGGTTTAAAGAGTTTCTACTGTATTATTGTATCAATAACGAAGAGTTTACATGATTTAAGTACTGAACAATGTTAATTTTTATGTATTTTATAATATAAATATTTGTTGTGTTTAAAAAAATACGGGCATGGCAATTTGTCAAAAATTATTGTGACAATTCAAACTTAATTTAAATGTAGATACCTAAAATGTTGTGTCAAAAAGTTTGTAGTAATGAAAATATAATTACCTAATTCCTTAAGATGATTTTGAATGCGATTCCTATCAGTATATGGTAAAAGCTCAGATATAGCTAGAGCATCACTCTCAATACTTAGCCCAGAGTTTTGCTCATCTTTATCCCTGAGTTGTATAAAATATTGAAGAGCTAGCCGTATTCTTAAATTTTCGTATTTCTGAGGAATTGTTCTGAAAAAGGATATAATTTTGTCTTCAGATTCAATCCAGGGTAAAACTGTTTGGATAGCCAAGGCATCATTATATAGATGGTGCATGTCTGAGGCTGGTCCACTAGTACTAGACATGCCAAAGATAAATTTTTTTATACAAATTTTGTAGGTAGAGGACCGATAATTTTAACTACACCATAAATATTTTTTACCATACACAACATTCACGAAAACAATTTCTGGTTAACTAAGGTTAATCAATCATCAGTCAATTGCAATGTCAATTGAGTCAATCATTCTATGAATCATCTATGAATGCAATGTTATGTTCTGTGGACTGTGATAATCACAGAATACACCAATGACGTAATAGACTACGCAGTCCCCTATTCTCGCTATAGAATCGAGTGTCCGTAAGATCCATCGAGTAATAAGACAAAAGAGGGAATCTAATCCTTATGAAAAGGAGACCAAAAAAGTGGCCTCTGATGGCGGACATATCCGGAAATGCGAATGCGCGAAATTTAAATTTTCCGACACTTATCAAAAGTAGCTATATAATATTTCGCAGAATGTGTCTTAGACGAGAAAGTTTTAATTAATTATTAATGCAACAATTTAATAAAACAATAACATAACCCAACTAAATTTGATGTAAAACAAGGAGAGAGACTCTCTTTCCTTGTTTAATGTGGCCTCTAAAGATCGCACTTCCTGTCTAACAATATGTTTGCCCCCACTACCTTTACATTCCCTCTATTGTCTTTTTGCTCGATGGTAAGATCTCGGCTCAAGGTTGAAGGTATGTTTATCAGAACAGCGGCGTGCTCATTTATATGTTAATGACAATAAATATTTTTTTATTTAAAATTAAATATTTATGATTTCTTTTTGTTCCCGTCTATAAGAGAAATAATTATTTTGATAAAATAGTATGGCATTTTACTAAAATAGTAAGTAAATAACTCTCAACAATTTAAAATAAAATTTGCTTGTCACACAAACTGGAGAAAATGTTTTCATACGTCCATGATGTTTTCAAACACAAGATCAACTTCGTGATGCTTCGTAAGAAATCGTGAACTTCGTGCATCTTCGTATCAAAACAATAAACAATAATCAGACAATAATAAAGGTATTCATGTTTTGGACACTTTTTAAAGCGTTCACCGAGTCTATATATTTTACGTCATTGGAATACACCATGTGTTGGTGTATTCTGTGGTCATTTTATTTACAACGTTATTATTATAAGTCATTTTATTTACAACGTTATTATTATAATAACATAATTATTTTATTACCATGAACTACTAAATCTCAGTCCAGAATACCAGAACCCATCGAGTTTAGATTCTCAGCAGAACAGAACCTCGGCAACCTTTTTTCAAAGGTGGCTGTGGCCACAGAATAAATAACAATCAGAATGCCCACTCTCAGATTGCCAACTCTCTCGGTTGCCACCTTTGAAATGTGTCAGCATGCTATCGCCATATTTTAAACGGAAACACAGGCTCTGATTGAGAAATTTGTGACAAGCTACGACAGCTATTTTTAGAGATTGATAATTTAGTAAATTTGAAATCGTTTAATCTATTCTTCAACTGACAGTACGATATAAAATGTAGCATATTATTTCTATGGTTGCCGTAAATCAACAACCGGGATAATTTTTCTGTGCACACCAGATTAAAAATTTCACTGAACAGCACTGGTTCCGTTTAAAACATGGCTGATTCCGTCTGCGCGAACGACATGCGCGTACTTATCTTGACAAGCAGAGTGGGCATTCTGATTGTCTTATTATTCTGTTCTGTGGCCCTGTGACAGAACAAAAAACAAAATAAAGTTTGAACACGTGTCAGACAGCGTTTGGCAAAATGGATTTTTTTTAATATTTGTCTTACCTCTTCCATAGCTTAAATTATTTCTCCAAACTTGAAGATAATCCCTCTATTTGAAATTTTATTTGGGGATTTTCGGTTTTTGAGTTAAAAGAAAATAAAAATTTAGTTTTCGGCGCAGCGCTACAAATATATTATATCCATTTGATGGACATCAAAAGCTGTAAAACGAATAAATAACCATTTTATTTAATTCCTCCTCGTTTGCGGATTTTGAATAAACTGTTTTTAATGAAAAATAATAAAAATTAAAAATTTTCCGAATGAAAAGGATTTTCCTTTATGGGTTTAAACTGCATAAGAAAAAGCATTTTCCATTATAGCTAAAATAGTTCTTCCATACTTGAGGATAATCCCTCCGTTCGAATTTTTTTCTCATACAGTTAAGACCAATAAAAGTAAACCCTTTTTAAATCAAGAAATAAAAAATTTATTTCACCAACGCTGAATTTTGCAGAATTTGGTTTCAAGCACCGAACATTTGTGCACCGAACAACTGGAAAAAAATATTTCGGTTTGGCAGTATGACACTATGCATTTTCTTGTATCATTTCTTATATCGTTTCTGATATAACAAAAAAATGGATAGTGTCATACAAGCGTATAGTTTCTTATATCAGAAACGATACAAGAATTTGTGTCCGCTGCATTTTCTTGTACAAGAAATGCGCCAATTTGTGCGCAAAGCCGCAAAAACGTAAAACTTCCGTCTTCTGTCATAATGGCGGCTGGAGGAGATATACAATTTGACCAAGCAGTCATCAGAGAAAAGTGCCCACCAACAATAACCAAGATTAGAACATCAGTAGCCAAATTGAAAAACAATAAATCACAGGGATTGGATCAAATAGCATCGAAACTACTGAAAGTAGGAGATGTTTTACTAAAAACAATACATAACCGCTCTAAAAATTAATGATGAGTTTAAAGATTATTAAACAAATAAATTATTACAACCAAATAATTTATTATTTCTGTCTTCCATTACAGCCTGTTAAATATCTTCAAAACTTGTGGTTTTCAATTTAGTTTTAATATTGGGACATTTTATTTCCTTCATTTTTGCACCACAGTATTTTAAAAAAATAATCAACAGCATTTGTCCTCTGTCCCCAGTAGCTTGGGATCCTCAGGTACTGCAGTTCTATTTTTATAGGTGTCAAAATTTCGACCAATCATGTGCCAAATCACATACAATTTCTGGTAAAAGAACTTGCACAGTGTCATACAGGGCAAAAATGTAGGTGCAAGAAACGATACAAGAAAACATAAAAAGCTTTCTATATCAGAAACGATTACGGCCTTTAGCATGTTTTATAATGTATTTGTTGTATGATGCAAATATGAAGAGAGAAATCTTTTAAAAAGTGCACATTGATTATAATATTTTATGAATTCTCAATTATTAATTTATATAAAATAATAACGAGTATTATTTCAATTTATAAATCGACGGAGTGGAATTTTTGCGCATGGGTAGAAACAGTGGCTAGACTGATGACCATGATACCATATTATCCTTGTATAATAATAATATAATATTTAATAAATAGACAAAAGCCATCAAGCTGCTCGAAGAGAACACTTACTGGACAGGAAGATATCGATCCTCAAAATAGAGAAAAGACCGATTGCTTTAAAACTATTTCGAATCATGTCGAACTATCACAGCTAGTGTTCCAATAGAACACCGATATACTGAATAAATAACGAATAAAAGCCCGAGTGGACTTAGAATTACTCTTCAATCGGTGGACAAGCTGAAGCAGTACTTCTTCGCCAAACCATTCGTTGGAAATAAGTACAGATCCATACGGGACTTGGAATTATTGCATCAGAGGTGGCAGTACGGAGTGAGCTCTTCGATATCAATTGAGATTGCGAGAATAAATAAACGACTGAAAAAGACTAAAAGCGGCTGCACAATTGCCCGGGAACGGCAACGAGATAGGAAACGGGAACGGGAAAAAAGTTAACCTATACGTAAATCAATGTTTAGATGCACACTCTCTTACATATCTCTGACAATAACCGAGAACGAGAAGCCGCCCGGTAACGAAAACGGGAAAGTTGCCCATGTTTTAACTTTCTCGTTCCCGTCATGTTCCCGTTGTATTCCCGGAACCAATCAGAAAGTAGTATTTAAAATACTGTCAAATGCAAAATAAAAATGTGTTTACATTTTGAGTGACTTTTTATAATCTAACTCTCTTGTCTAATCATTTTATGTATTTTACATTAAAATGAATGACTATGACGAACTATTTGGTGGAAAAATGTATGATCGATATGCAGTAAGGGGTATAAAGATGAGACATTGCAAAACAATAGTAGTTGTTGTTCTATTGCAGAATATTGTAAGCAATGGACATGATATCTTTTGCAGCAGCTAATTTTAGTGAATTTTATGAGTCAAAATTAATAGACTCACACAACAGTAGTGACTTAAATTTTATGAAGTCAGTAGTAGAAGATATGAAGTCATTAACACCAAAAAACAAATTAAAATTTAAAAAAGATGTACTAGATCTTTTATTGAAATTTTCTATGCAAAAGAACTATTTATTTTCATTTCAGTTGAGTAAAATTTATTTTTCAAGAATAATACTTTATACACATTGGTTGCAATAGAAAAAAATTAAATTCGGTCCCTATTGATATATTTTTGCTGCCAAGCTACTGAACCTACATCAGATATTAAATAGTTGGCTAATCTATCTCTTAATCTTGTTACAGCATTTGCAGCCATGCTCGAACCCAATCGAACAGCAGGGGTTAAATTTGTATCACTTTTTGTATTATTCTCTTTTAATAAAATTAGAAAAAGATTGTTCCACAAAATTTATTTTGAGAAAAAAATAATTAACAGCACAAGTGACAGTGACAAAACATTTCAATATTCGTAGCACAAAATACCTTGTTTAGCCTTAATTGTGAATCTGCTGATGCTTTCAGTTTCCGTTCTCGTTCCCGTTTCCGTTCTCGTTTCCGTTCACGGGCAATTGTGCAGCCGCCTTAAGCCGAGAATACATACCTTCCCGAACAAATAGAGGATGGAATTGAAAAACCTTCGATCTTCCTCCAGAGTGGCGGTCGGAAACCATCCTGGAACTCCAAATAACATGTAGGATGAGCCGACCGTACGAACAACAGACAGAGGTAGACAATTTAAGAGCCAATTGCTTCGCCTGCTCAATACAATGTTAGGAGTACCTCATATTAAAACCACTGCCTACCACCCACAGTCAAACGGGTGTATTGAACGTTTTCACCGAACACTCAAAACTGCGCTCGTCGCCGCTGATACATTATCGTGGGTTGAAGCCCTCCCTTTGGTCATACAGAGTCTTCAAGCAGTACATTTCGTGTACAGCCTTCGAGTTAGTGTATGGTACTTCAGTGTGCCTCCCTGGACAGCTGCTTGTCCCTAATGCTGCTGCACCCGACGAGCATATTTTTTCTAACGACTTCGTAAGATCACGGGAGCATTGCTGCCTGTATCAACAAGCAACCACTCAGCCCACACTGCCTTTCTCCATCCGGATCTGCAGACCGCGACTCATGTGTTTATTCGGACCGATAAAGTGAAGCCTTTCTTACACCACCCTATAATGGCCCATTTAGAACTTTGGAACGTAATGACAAGTTTATCACAGTAGATGTCAGAGTATACTCTGAAAGATGTCCAACATGTTCCTCAACGAATTTCCGTGGATCGACTCAAACCAGCATACATTCCAGCGATCCAACAGATGCAGGAAGAACATCAGAACATGTATATGCCAACCGTCTGCTGAACAACACAGGTCAAGAGAGCCGTTAGAAACCTGCAGGTTCCACCGGAGAAGAACCCTGTGAAGGATTGACACTTAACCGCCTGTCACACATGAGGTGGCTGTGGACTGTGCTGCTGAAGCGAGTGAACTTCGGCGCCGAAAGACAGGCTGGCAAGAAAACAAAAGAAAAGGGGACAACTGAAGGCAGTCAGCTGATTTCCGTCAGAAGCAATAACAGGACAGGATTCAGCTCATCGAGTTAGAATCTATTCAGCTTTAAAAAAGGAATATTATTGTTTTTTTACTTGTTTGAGTATGTTTCTTGTTAATAAACCATTAAAATAGTTTAAAGTTTGCCTCGATTACTTTGCTTCCCGCAAAACGGGCCACAGGGTCCATCCTTAGTGTATTATATCGATACGGTATCAGCAAAGAATATAGACGCTTATTGAAGAATCTTTCACTGTTATTTTTGAAAGTTGGCAAAGGTTCATCGCATCGCACGTTATGAAAAAGAATGACATAGATAAAGAATATATATTACCGGAGAATGAGAGGGTGGATCGAGATTTTAGTACCACAAGGGAGCGGTCATGTCAGCGCTATTATTGCTTTTAAAATATGAAAGAGTGGGGCAACAAATGCAACAGATATTTTTATATGTAGATGCCGCGTGACCGTAGAATAGAATTAAAGTTTTGCGTTTTATAATATAATATTTTAACTTTTAATAAATGAATCTTTTTAGAAAAAATATTATTATTCAAATTTTTAATTTAAATGTACAAATCTACAAATAATATAATTAAAACTCTCTTCTTATAAACTATAAATAAAATTAATTCAATCAATAAAGTCATCAATCACTGGGAGATAAAGCTTAAAAAATTGTAAGGTGTTTCGATGTTTAATACTTGATTGGAATAAATGGTGCAATTTATATCTCTCCGTTTTGTACTGTGTAGTTTTGTTGGACCTCTCCTGATGGAAGAACAACGAGTCAGAATATATCAGGAATCAGATATCTTAAAATATATTAAGATAGGACGTCTGAGGTGGATAGGGCATGTAATGTGGATGGAACAAAAAAACTAGATCCCATAAAATAGGCCCAACTAGAAAACTGTCTATAGACCCATTAGTCCCAGAATAAGAGGAAGACCCAGAACAAGGTTCCTTGATAACATCGATGACGACATGAGAAATATGGGAATAAATGCTTGGCGGAGAATGGCGATGGATAGGAACGACTGGAAAGAAGTTCTTGAGGAGGCTAGGAACCACGCAGGGTTGTAAAGTCAGAATGATGATAATGATGAATTTGAATGATTATATCGTTAAATATTTCCAAAGTTTCCAAATTTAATTATTTCTTCTTCTTTGTTTTTAATATAATATAACATAAAATGTAAAACACAACACTGTTTTTTCTGCAGAATATATTTAATTTGATACATTTCGCCTAATTTTATATTTCTTAGAAGAAATAATTTTAAAATAATTATTTCTGTTTGCAAACTATTTATATTCCAAACATTTTTATTTCAAATATTATTGTTCTTCAGATGCTTTTAAAATTTTATTATATACTATATACCAAATGTACCTACTTCCATTCAAGAGTGTATTCTAATCTAAAATACATCTGGTCAGCAGACGAATCTTTTCTCACTTTACCTCTCGTTCACTGACAAAGAATATAGTCGCATGCATTCTTTGATATTTATTTTAAAACCTTATTTTGTCGGTAAACATCGTACAAGTGTAAGTGGAAAATTGTCTAAAAAGTTTAATGAAAAGTTCTGAGAAAATTAAATTTTTGGTTAAAAAATTTTGAAATTTTTTAAAAATGTTTTGTTAATTTTTGGGCAGAAAAACAGTATAATAAAAATTTATGTGACGGTTTTTGATTGTGTTGGAACAAACCTATTTTTAATTCAAAGTTATAAAATTAAAAAAATAAATACTTTGAATATTGTAAATATCATACCTTTTTAAGTTTTAAAATTAAAAATTTAACAATTTAATATATTAAAGATAAAGATTTTATTGTGAAAAAAACAAAAAAATCATCGAAATTTGTTTAGACGTAGATGCAAAGTTAAATAAATAGCTTCGTTCGTACCAGCTGCCAGGAGTGTTTTGAAGTATAAACCGTAACCAAATCGCCCATTTGAATTGTTCTTCTATATCAGGGTTGAATGTTTAAACGAGTATTCTTTTTAAAGCAATAAGCTGATATACTCTGGCCTAACCTAACCCGGACACAAAAAAAAACCAAACCAAAACTTTCTGCTACTTCTTTCATGAATGTTCATTGTACGATGGATGTACTATGTATGTGTTTGGTGTAGAGCACATGTGGTGCTCTACACTCATTTCTAGCAGAACTTCTGAAATATGGGGGAGACGCACTGCATCGCCAAATCTACCAGCTAATAACGCACATATAGTTAGAAGAAAGGATACCATCACGATGGAAGGAAAACATAATAGTGCCCATCCACAAAAAAGGGGACAGAACAAAACCCTCTCAAACATCATTCTTAGTAGACTAATCCCTTATGCTGAAAATATCCTATGCAAATATCAAGCCGGTTTTAGGGCAAACAGATCAACAATAGATCAATTATTCACTTTGAGACAACTTTTAGAAAAGGGATGGGAGTATAACAGACCCATACACAATCTTTTCATAGACTTTCGACAGGCATATGATAGCGTAGAAAAAAGCCAAGTATAGAATGTAATGGCGGAGTTCTCAATACCAAAGAAACTCATTCGGATGACCAAAGTGTGTATGGAGGGTGGAATATCTAAAGTACGTGTAAATAATAAACTGTCTGACAGCTTTGAAATCAACAGTGGACTCAAACAGGGTGATGCGTTATCTCCACTACTTTTTAACCTTGTATTAGAGAAAGCCATGAGGTCGGCCGAAATAAAAACAGAATTGCTATCGGTTCAAGGTCCCAACCTGTTACTCGCATATGCAGATGACATAGATCTCGTTGGAGACTCCATCCGATCCACGAAATGGATCCAACATTTTCAACAAGGTGGAAGGAGCAAGAAGTGAAGTAGGGCTGAAGATTAATGAAGAGAAGACGAAATATGTGTATAAATAGAACGACACGAAGAGACAGAATAGGACAAAATGTGACGGTCATCACCTTCAATTTCGAAAGAGTACAACGTTTTATGTATCTGAGAGCCGTAATCACAGCTCACAACGATGTTACTGAAGAAATAAAAGACAGAATCCAATCTGCAAACCGCTGTCTATTCGCACTGGATAAGCTCACAAAATCAAAAAAATTCAGAATAAGTTCAAAGATCAAAATCTATAAATCCATCGTCAGACCTGTAATAACATACGGATGCGAAACGTGGACCATGACCAAAGCAAACGAAGAAAAGCTCAGACGCCTTGAACGAAAAATACTTAGAAAAAATTTCGGACCTCACCATGACATCACCACAAACCAGTATAAGATCAGAACCAATATCAAATTAAAAGCACTCTACAACAACGCCGATATTGTCCAAGAAATTAAATCACAGCGACTAAGATGGGCGGGCCACGTGCACAGACTGTATAACGACTAACGAGAGACTTGTACGAGAGAACTGGTATGGGAGTACACAATTATATTAACATTGTTAAATATAATAACATAAATATAATAGAATTAAACATAAATATAAACAAACCTAAAATGCTCTATTTTACTAATATTTTCAGATTTTATACAATTTTTTGATATTTTTTATAATCTGTAGATAAATAAACTAACTTTTAGCTGGAGGAATTGTTAAAAACGTAGATCATCAAAAGAACAAGAAGAAGATGTAACGAACTAACTTAACCTAAGTCAACAACTTGTTTACCGTTTACTCCATAATTTTTCTTCTGGTAAATTTGAATTTCGGCGAATATTTGAGATGGGTGAAGAAGGTGAATATGAAAATGAACATATAGAAGTCTCGAAAAAAGGGCGACATCGTAAAAAATTACTTTACAATTCAATCTTACAATTAATGGAATTTTACTTCAGTGATTCTAACCTTGCTAAAGATAGATTTCTTTCACAATTAATTAGTGAAAATCCATGTAAGTATAATTACATTCATATTTTGGATTGTATTAAAAATCATATTTTGCCTTTATCAGTTGTAGATATAAACATATTTTTGAAATTCAATAAAATTAGAAAATTAAACTGTACTCTAGATGATATACGAAAAGCAATTAGTAAGTCCGATATGATAGAACTATCAGAATGTAAAGAAAGAATAAGAAGGAAGATGCCGATAAAAATTAATGAAAATGTAGACAATTGTACAATATATGTTGAAAATATTAAAGCTGATGCTAACCATGAGTGGGTTTCACAGATATTTTCAGAATTTGGAAATGTGGTTTATGTTTCAATACCAAAATACAGACATAATAAAACAAACAAAGGTTTTGCTTTTGTTGAGTTTGAAGATGAAAACAGTGCTAAAAATGCTCTTACATACTTTGAGAGTATTGGGTGTAAAATGCCATCAGAAACAAACCCAGAGAATTTAAAAAGTATTCAGACATTTCAGGAAAAAGGTAAGTCTTTATACAGCTCGCCCTCGATAGTCCGACAGGTTCGGGACCGACGTAATGTCGGATTACCAAAAATGTCGGATTATGGAAAATGGCTATTCTGTAATGAATATGATTGCCACAAAGATAGTCATTTTAAACAACGTATTATTCATCGTTAAATTCAAGGGACATATTAAAAACACAGAATAAAGTGAACAACATTTTAATTTATGTACATAGACTTAAAACTACATACAAAAAAGAGCACAATATGTATTTACTTGTTGAAAAAGTCCGTGATTGCCTTCTGTTTCTTTTTTTGAAAACTCCACCATTGCTGCCTCTTGCAAACCTTTTAACACTAAAATCTTGTTCATGTCCACATCTCTCTCTCTTGGCACCAACGTAACAAAGTGTTAGCTGCCGATACAGCTTCATCACAGCTGACGGTGAAGGTTTTTTCTGGCTCTGCGTCCTCGATCACGTTGTCATCAACTGCTGTCACTTCTTGAATTATATCTGCGTCTGTCATGTCAGCATCAAGGTTATCTTCTATGATCCATGTTCTAAGCTCTTCAACCGATGCGGGGGCAAGTTGCACTTCATTACAAAGTTCCTCTAAAACGGGTTCTGAATCGCTGTTGGATGTAGGATTATACGTTGTAAGACATGGGTTGTTAGGCCATACATTTCTCCACGATTTTATCAGTGTTATGCTTTTTACTTGCTGCCAAGCATACGCAGCATTCAAAATGGCGTCTTTAATGTTAAAAGCTTTCAAAATCGCTGGAATATCAGCATCAGGTTGACTGACAACATCCATAAGAATGTGTTTCTTATAGTGAGCTTTGAGGGTTTTTATCACGTTTTGATCCATGGGCTGAATTAAAGCTGTCGTATTTTTCGGTAGGTACATAACTTCAATGTAGCCATCAGCAGTTTTGATTTTCAATTCATCAGCATCAGGATGTCCTGGTGCATTATCCAGTAAAAGTAGGGCTTTCATAGGTAACTTGTTCTTCTTTAGTTCAACCTTAACTTGTGGAACGAAGCTGTTGGTGTACCAGTCACGAAAAATTTCTTTTGTCACCCATGCGCGACTTTGTGACTTGTAAGTTACTGGCAGAGATTCAACCTTTACATTTTTGAATGCTCGAGGGTTTTTTGATTTTCCTACAACAAGCAGTTTTAATGCATGAGTGCCTGATGCATTCGCACACACCATAAGCGTGAGTCGTTCTTTTTGCAATTTCCTTCCTGAAACTTTTTTTTCCTCGCCACTTACAAATGTTTCTGCCGGGAGATGTCGCCAATTCAACCCGGTTTCATCTGCGTTGTACAGTTGCTCAGGAACTAAACCAAGCTTGGTAATTTTGTTGTCTAACATTTCAATGAAGGCATCAATCTCAGACCTGTCAGCAGACACCTTTTCACCACACATCTTCATAAATCGAATGCCATGGCGTTTTTTAAAGTTCTCGAACCATCCATGACTAGCACGAAAGTCATTTTTCCTCGTTATTTCTGTGTAGAAACATTGAGCCTTTTGTTTAAGTATGTCTCCGGATATAGGGATATTCCGTGTGCATTGTTGTTTAAACCAAATAAACAGTGCTTCTTCCACCTCAGGAAACTCGCTTGTTCTGAGGGTTTTTCTGTTTAAAGGGTTGTCTTCAACAGACTTCATGAACCCTTCAATTTTTCCTTTATTCTTCATAATATCATAAATCGTAGGCCGTCCAATTTAATAAAATTTCGCTACTGCAGTCGGCGTTTCACCGCTATCTATACGTTTAATAATTTCCCACTTCTGGATATTGTTAATGTTTTGTGTTTCCGTTTAACACCACTCGTGCTTGCCATTTTGCCATTTGTACGCGAACACTTGAACTAACTGCGCAGGGAAAATGAAATGCACGTGCACGTCCGCTACGAAAGTCAACTGAACACTGAACACGGAACTTGTCTCCCGTAGCGGCGCGTCGGATTACCGAGTACGTCGGATTTCAAAGTGTCGGACTAGTGAGGGAGGGCTGTAATATATAAATAGCTAGAATTGTAGATGCTCTTTAGCTTTTTATTCAGTAAACTAGTATGTCTTGTGGACATCTGTTTTGTCGTTATTATGTCCTACCATCCCTTAAAATCCATTGGGGCACAGATATCTTATTTCCTTATTTATTTATTGCTAAGGGTCCAATTACAATAACAAAAGAAAAGTTGCTACAGATTACCATTTAGAACTCCACTCAGGAATAAGTCAGGGAAAATATCAATTTCTGGTGTTGATTAGCCAGTCCAGAATACCTTGATATATAAAAGGACAAAAACCATAATTTATATAATGAATAGGAACACAGGAAGAGGAGTTATTAGTTGTTGTTTTTTTTCCTCATCTACTGTAAAAAGTAAACAAACATGCATTTGAAGTTTGACACAGGCCATAAGGCAGAGAAATGTAAACACTGTTGCCATTTATAAATAGTTTTCAGTGCTTCTACATATAAAATAATTGATTAATATCTATTATATGCTATTATTAAATGATAATGCACACTATGTGCACACTTGATATTTGGATTACAATTAAATATATTAATATAACAATAAATTATTATTTTGGTTTGATAGCACCTGTAGGGTATAAAATACGGAGTAATATTTTCAGTGACTCGTGAATAAGAAATTTTAATAAAAAAACGTGACAACAGTTGAAGGTGCTGAGAATGTGACGACCTATTCAAATAATTTTGACTTCACAATTTTATGTAAATAACTGAGTCCATTTGTGTTTATACGTCCATGATAAAGTCACAATGTATCACAATACCAATCTTTTGTGTAAAGTTGTGATATATTGAGCAAAGCTAATTTAGAGTTAGTATCATTATTAACAGTATTTAATTTGTAGCTTACTTACTTCAAAAAATTATATTCCACCTATTCAAGAAATGAATATGGATATGAAGAATATATATAGAATGAATATGGCAAGCAGAAAGGAAATGACCTTATGTACAAAATATGTATGATAATATAGGCTAGTACTGGCGTACATACCGAAAGCATGGAGGCTCATAAGAATACCCTTTATACCAAAATCTGGCAAAACCGGATAGGAAAAGATTAAGTCCCTGAGACCTATCAGATTCAGTTTTTTTTCTTGGAAGATGCTTCTTATAAACTGGTTATTCTGCAGCCAAGTCGCTTATTATACATCTTCTATTCCCTGGTGGTATTTGGGTCACCTGATGAGAGGACATAAATACGCATTACTTCAAAATATAAGGAAAAATAGAAGGAAAACAGAATCCAGGCCATAGAAGAATGTCATGGTTGCATCATTTGAGAGAGTGGTTTGGCTGTACCACTAATGAACTCTTAAGATCAGCTGTAAACAAGGTCAGGATAGCCTTGATGATTTACAATCTCCAATAGGAGTGGCACAAGAAGAAGAAGAAGAATTCCCTGGTGATAAACATTCCAGGATTCTGGAACCCTGTAGCCACTTTTATAAGTCTAGTGGATGGGTACCATATATTTTTGGATCACTTGTTTCTTTCCAAAAAGTGTTTGCCATCTGCAATCTAATACTTTGCAGTCATGCAAGATATGGTTGACTATTGTAACAAAAATATGAGTGACTGGCAGGTGTAGGACGCCAATGTAATAAAAGTGTGTATGTGTAATGTAACACAAGTATTTGGAGTAATGTAACAGATAACAAATAATTTAAAGCTGGCTAGCAGAAGGTGTCGGAGAGAGTGACAACTTGGCACTCAAAAGAGGATTCAGCTAATTTGCATGCCCTACAGAGACTGTAAAGTGAGAATGTGAATGACAAGATACAAAAAAAAATAGAAATAATGTAAATGAAAGTGGTAAATTATAAAAGTTGCTCTAAGATATGAGTGGGCGCCAGGAAAGTATTAACATATTATGCATTCCAAGGTATCTTGTAAAGCTATTTGCTGAACTTAGAAAGGAAAAAGGTATTAATTAAAATATTTAGTTTTCACCACAAATTGTAATCCCGATCCAATTATATGCAGTCTAATTTATTATATGCTACCCACCACCATTATATGTACAGTTGGCGGGTGTTGGAGAAAAGTGGTATAAGTCTAAATTTTAAGTTTCGAGAAAAACGCAATTATAGTTTTTTCAAATTTAATATTGTTGTTACGGATACAAATAAGATATTTTCGTTAAACAATTTTTGGAAATGGCTTTGAATTTGTTGGACTAAAATAGATCTACTAGTAAAAAGGACCTAGTTGTACAATTTTTTAAGAAAAATATGACTTACATCACTTTTCACAATTATTTATTAAAGAAAAAAGCCCTTCCGGAAGATATAGTAACAAATCTAATTATTAATTATAAATAAAAAAATGTGAAACTGAAAAGTTTTATGTTTAGTTAAGGGGGTGCATTTATAGTCAAATACAATGTAAAAGTTTATTTAATTTTTAAAAATTTCAATTTCTGTGTGTACACTCTCCTCGTCACTACTATTTTCATCCTCGGGTAACGTATTTGGTATATCCTCCTTCGTAGTTAAATTTCTATAAAAATCATGAAATGTTTCAGAGATATAAGGCAACAGCTCTATCAAGTTCTTTTTTTATCGATGTTTATTGGATTGGGACCTTTATATGACAGAGGAATTTTTATGTTTTTAGGCCACGTATTACCTTTTCTTAAAAAACATACGCTTTTAAATGGTTCGTCTACATTTAAGCTACTTTTGTATTCAAGGACACCAGGATTCTGTGAAAATCTCAACCATTTCATTTTTTTCCACATGACTTTTTCTCCTAAGTTGTTAGTTTTTCTTTGTTGAAGGATATTCTTATACAAAGAAGAAAACTCAAAAAAATCCGATCTGCACATTTCAGTAACTAAAAAAGTTTGCTTATTTCCACATAATCTTACCAAATTCATCCAGTCTCTTGGGTGTTCTATCGAACATGGATATCTTTTCTTTTTTTTTTCTCTAATTGCGTGATCTGAATCAC